GGAGGTTCTGTGTTTGGTGCTTCCCACCATCATTGCCTTAGCTTTGTTCACATGCTGTATGGAGTCTCCCTTTGCACTTGCTAGTTAGCTAGCTTCTGGAAGAGGTGTCTTTTAACAATATTTTAATGCTGTAATCATGTAGCACTTTTCTTGTTTGTGTACAGTCTCCAGTTCAGACAAATAGTGAGCATATGCTTAGTTCTTTCACTGACTCCAGTTTGGATTTTACAAAATGTGAAGTTTAAGAAACCTGATAGGCTCTTCTTGGTGTAAAGAATATTTTTTCCTCCTTATCTTACAGATAAAACACTCAGTCTTGTCCAGTCACACCACAACAGAAAGGTATAATAACAATCTTTATTGTCAATCTCTAATTTACTTTTGGTAGTGTCTATTCCTTCCATGTTTTTCTCTCTGATTATGTTACTAATACTGGATACAGGCAACACTGTGTTGCTCTGAACTGCAGACTTGGAAAAAGACATGGAAAAAGGGAGCTGGCTCACCCCTGCCTCATTTTTCCTTTCTCAGCCATTTCTCTCTTATTTTCCTCCTCCCCCAGCATCTCTTTGGTGACCTCCTGGTCACTCACCAGTCATCTCTCTCCCATTTCAGTGCTTTTTCCTGTATATTTGATTCCATTCCATAAGCTCATAAAATAATTGATGGAGACCAAGCTGCAATTTGTGGAGGAGATGGCAAGGGTATATATTTAAAGAGGGGCTCTTGTTTTAGCTACAGCACCTGACTGTAACTGCCTTTTGTAATCAATTGTATTTTTTTGACCGTGTCTTTTTAAAAACTCATTGTGAATATATTCAGTAATCCATGAACTCAGGCTGAATCATTGATATATATCAAATTTGTTAAACCTACTGGTTCCTTTTTTATTATTTTAGACAAGTTTGCTTCGCAGCCTGTGAGAGCCTAGAATTGTAGTAACTACTTTTTCTCATTGTTTGCGTGTTTTCACAGGAAGAATCTTATCAAGCCATGTTTTTATTCACTAATCTTTATTACTTTTCTTCCTTCAGACATATGGAATTGAACTCTCGTGAAAATGGCTCTGTAAAAGCAGAATTCAGCCATCAAGAGCAAACTCTTAATAAGAGTCTGGTGCATTTAAACCTGGAAAGAAATGAGGGGAGCAGTGATGTTCTGGCTGAAGACCACATAGAGGAGGATTTGGCAGGTGAATGTATGTACTGTGTTCTACTCAGGATTGTTACTCTTTAAGAATGATTGGAGGAAGCCTGAGTGCTGATACCTTGCTTCCCAGGAGAGGGGATGTTAGTACAAGCTAATGTAATTTAGTCTGATATCTGCCCATTATCAAGTCTTAGCATAGCTCCTGCCCTTGTTGATAGCTAACTTAGTTCTGAATGGGGAGGGAGATTAAAGCCCTTTCTTGAACAAGAGGAGGCTCTTCTGGATGCTGATTGACATAAGTGGCAATGCAGTTTGGCAGAATTTGGGCTATTCTTGCTCTGTGGATGGACACTTCATTCCCAGAGGCTCCCCGTTAACACCTCTGCTAGCACATACAGCTGCCCTGTCGGAAGGGGAGCAGGGAAGTTCTGTGTTCCTGTCTCAGAGGGCTTGACCTTGTAGTTGCTCATAACTGATCTGGCAGATCTCTATGAAAAATTTAATCCTTTTCTCCACAATTAAGAGCATGTTAGGAAGTACCTTATTTCTTCCCATTACTTCAGCAAAACATTAAACTTGGATTTGTGTGTGACTTCAGTAAAATTCTGTTGAATTAATTCAGTATCAGATTCCATCCAGCATAATTCTGATTTCAGCAGCCCTTAAAAATATAATCAAGTATTTACATGTAACCTGTTTTCCATTCTTCCTTCTATTGAATTGAGTGTATCATTTTCAAACAGTAACCTCGTTTGCCTGGCCGTTATTGCAGGACTCAACACTGGGGAAATTATAACCATGGAACAACCAGTCCTGCTGTCAGGGAGATGAGTCCGTTTCCTTGCCTGTACCTAGTCACTTCCCCTTTGAAGCTCTTCTCTCATAAGGCCGTCCTCCCTGAGGATGTGCAGTCTCACCTGCATTAGAGGCTAGTACGTGGTTTATCTGAGGCAAAAAAAGAGGAAGGAACTTGTTTAACTGTTGTCCCCGCAGCCAACGGCAGGGGAAGTGTGGTGAGCGTCTTGGTGCTGTCAGGGAACGCTTTTGAACTTGAGTGTTCCAGGTATCCAAATGCCTTTCTTCTTATAGATGCACAGAACACATCTTGAGGAACAGTAATAACGATAAAAGGCTGAGATTTTTGTTTGTTTGTTTATTTTTCTTCTGCTTCCTATAAATGTAAGGCGTTAAAGAAGATGGAGAGAGCAAGCCGCAAGCTGTAGAAGGCTTTGGTACCCACCAGTTGCTGCAGTCGGAAACAGATTCTGTATGTGGATTGACTTTATCGTGTGAGGAAGACAGAAATGAAGATGATTTTCCTACGTTCTTCAGTGTCATGAGCAATAGGTAGTACATGTTGCAGATTTAAATTACAAGGATATTCAGACTTCATGTTAAGCCATTAATTGATTCAGAATTAAGTCTGTTCTGTCTGCAAAGCTGTATCTACTAGGATTATTTAACAGGACTACTTATAGCACAGTAATGGAAGAAGATATACTTTGTAAAATCAGTTGTGCAGAGTGGTCTGAGGGTGGAGTCATTCACCTAAACCCAACTTTGAATGGCTTCCCTACGCTTCTCCCACTTTGGGATTGAAGCAATTGTTTCTCTGTAAGCGTAACTGCAGACAATGTGTGAACTTCTGAAAGCATGACTGTTAGTGAGTTTGTTTGAGCTTTTCTAAAATATCTCTCTATTGCAAGTTGTTTTTTGTGGTTTGTGATTACAGTCCTTGCTTGCACACCACCAAATAAGTACTTTTTGCAGTTGTTTAATGTCGTGAAACAAAAGCCATGTTGGTGGCTCTGTGCCTGTAAGTTTTACCTCTGTCCAAATAAAGTGGGCATGAAATCTAATTTTGTCTTTAGAAACTGCATAAAAGGAGTTCATACAGTAAAAATATCTTTTCTGCCTCTTTTGGACGCCAGATTTAGTGATATTGAACTCCGTGAGGAGGAGGGCATACCAACAGAGGAGTTTCTGGAGTCATGTTATGCCATTGTGCCCGTTCTGGGTAAGCAGCTCCTTCTTTTCATGGTATGCATGCACATGAGTCCTTTTGACTGCCACCAGCTAGGAGAAATGGTGGAGTAGTTTGGAGAACTCGTTTCTTTGCTGAAGTGGTGTAGTGTAAAAATAGTTTCTATCAGCAGAATCAATATGACCGGTACCAGATGATGTTTCTTATTGCTGCCATTTATAGAGAATTCAGTCTCATTTAGTTGGGACCCATGTATAAGCTCTCTGGAAATCTGTGCACGTATCTGGAACAGTAATTTCGTGCCCTCAAGAGAACAGTGCAGAATGCCTTATGTGTAGCACAGCTGATAGTAGCATCAGCCATACCGTCTATTGTGGCTATTTGATTTTTTTTCAAAGGCTTTCATCTCTAGCTAGTGTAATCCCCTGTCTGCTTGGGCTCTGAATCTGGCAGTAGATGTCTCTGTAAGCATGCACCTTTTGAAGACTCCCCGAGTTAGTGTATTTTAACTCTTGTACCAACTAGAGGTTTGGTTCTATAACTGAAGAAAGACTTAATTATGTTGTTCCTTTAGTGTTCTCCTACCATTCAGAAAGTCCGGTAAGAGTAAATGAATTAAGTTGTTAACTAAGGCATAAGAAGTAGGAAAAGGCATGATTTTAAAATGTGGACTTTCTTTCTTTCCAGACAAGCTGGGACCAACTGTTTTTGCTCCTGTTAAAATGGATTTTGTAGGTAACATCAAGGTAATAGCTAATTTCTAACACTGACTTTGAACAAACAGGACTCCATTTAGCCAGCATGAGTCTGAACAGATGATGATGACCCTGTTGAAACACGTAGCTTAGAAACCAGAACTCAATAATTTTTGTTGCAGAAGTCAATACTGGAAGGCCTTTTTAATATTTGTTCATGTTGCTATCGATCAGATCAGAATGCTGAGAGGTCCCTAATTCTGCTCTTAAGCACATGCTGTGTTTAATAATCCAACTGTTTTTGCAATGAAACTTTTTAAATCAAATTTGACTGACTGCCAAGTAGGAAGACTGTTACAGCTAATGAATACGGCTTTGATACTGAGCTGAGAGGGTTATAAGTCATGATGTGATGGTATCGGTATTGACTTTGAACTGGAGACCAACAGGAAAAAAATGCCCTTCCTTTACCAAGTCAGTGCAAATGAATTCACTAAGAACTAGCTCCTCAGGGACTGTAAATTGGAGTGGATCCTGTAGCTGTGGCTCCCCTTCTGAAACTTCTTGCAGCTCCAAGTCTGAAAAAGCTTTAAGTGCTGCTTGTGCAGTTAGGAGTTGTATGTAACAAACTTTGAAATAAATTAGCATAAACATGCTGATGACTGCTAAGTATAATTGGGAGTTTGCAGTTCAGCTGTTGTCAGAAGGTGATCTTGTATTTGGAGCTCTGGGATGGTGGGTCTTGGCTCTATGTGCAGACTGAGTTAACACCTTTCTGCCTGTGTGTAGGATGACACATGAGCTACCTAAAGCACGTTGTCAGGCATAAACGGCAGTTTCTGCATAAACTGTGGACTAACCCGCTTTTTAAGACTGCATTACGTGGTGGTAATGTGGCAGGCACACGGTAGGAGCTAAGTCTTGGGGTTCGTTTGGCTCTGTGGTCTCTCACTCACACTGCATGCCCTGGCCGGGCTAGCAAGGAAGAATCCTGGTAAATAGCTAGTTTGTCTTATACAGGGCATTGTTTGATCTTAAAAGCGTAAAGCCTTTCCTCTTATTTTTTTCCAGAAAATAAACCAGAAATTTATAACCAACAAAGAAGAGTTTGATACTCTTCAGAAGATAGTGCTCCACGAAGTGAACACAGGTGTAGCAGAAGTTAGAAACTCTGCTACGGAGGCTCTCTTGTGGCTGAAAAGGTAACCACCTCATATCTATTTAGGTTATAAACAGTTAAGGCGTGATGAAGGTTCTTTCACCAATGCAGGCTTGTGTTTATAGAGCAAACTAGTTACCTTCACAAGTGCCATCGGTCCAAACTGACTGAGGTCAAATTTGATGTATTGCCTGTAGTTCCATCACTGCCGTTTTGCCAAAAGGCCTGAAAAAGCAATGACAGGCAACCTTTCCCTCCCTATCACCCATAAAAGTGAAGAACAGATCACACTAAGTGACTGTTCCTACTGGGCCAGTGCATCAGGCAGGTTTCAGGTTGCAGCACAACTCTCTCGTTTTATAAGCAGTGGGAGTGAAGCTGGGTTGGTTGGCTCCGGAATGTCCCTCTAAGATACTGAAATGAGAACTTGACTGTTATACTGAAATGATGAAGCTCCCAAAATTGCATTGCAAACAGAGGGGTTTATCTGGTTATAACCATGGTTTCTTTTTTGCTTTGTGGGCTCATCCTGGCAGAGGCTTAAAGTTCTTGAAAGGATTTTTAACAGAAGTGAAGAATGGTGAAAAGAATATCCAAACAGCTCTGAGTAAGTTCCAGTAGCTTTATTCTTCAAATATCTCTGAATTTACATACGCAGCTATTTTCCTCCTTGTTTAGAACTTGAGTTTTCTTTTCTCCTGTGGTTATTGATGCAGCTAGCCTGCAGAATGCAACTTTTTTGAAAATCATGCTCTTCAGCCAGATTACTAGATAACTGGTCAATCTTGATTTAATGCCAGGTGAAGATTCATCTAACTGGCATGCTTTTGGCATGAAGAAAAGGCTATATAGGTGGCATAGCATGTTGGGACTGTCTGAGGATGTAACAAGGGCCCTCCTCAAGGGCTACATTCAGCAGCACTCTCAAGAGAAGCCCTGAGGATTATTTTAATAAGGATCTGGTACTTTCTGTTTGTTCTAAGGGGTTAAAAGTTCACCTTCATGCGTAAAGAGATTTTATTTAATGTCTGAGCTGTCTGGATTGAGACTGGCTAACTGTCAGCCTTCCGGGTGGTTTCACCCTCTGTAATATTTTTCCAGACTTGCACTGAACTCAGAACTAGAGAGTAGAAGAAAAATTAGTCGTGAGGCACAGATAGTCAAACAAAATCACGTTTCCCTCCTGTCTGTTCAAACAACTTATTTGCCATGGATGACTTGCTTGAGATTTGGAGATTTGACAGCAGAGCTGAGACCCCCCCCCAACCCAGGAATCCCACTTCTGTCATCTCCTCTTCTCCTTCCTTTCAGTCATTTCAGTGATGCTCAGAAAGAGCCATTATTTGTGTCCAACAAGAAGAATATGTCCTTAACTAGTAGTTTCTAAGCTCTGACTTTTCATTGTGATGCGAACTTCAAACCGCCATGCATGTATCTCTTCCCTCACCCCTTTCCTTTAAGACAATGCTTATGGGAAGACGTTACGGCAACACCACGGCTGGGTTGTACGCGGGGTCTTTGCGGTAAGTAATTATCTTGGCTACTAGGGATCTTGTTAAAGTTATATTGTATTTAATTAATAAACTATTAAAATTGTAAGCATTGAAATGAAGAGATTCCTTTTGTCAGACCTTATCTTGAGGGTGAGGATTGTGACTATTGTTATATTCAGTACTGGACTTCCAGGGTGGAACCTCTTTTTTGGAGCCAAAACACATGGGTTTCTTTTGTGCCCGTAAAGTTCTCATTATTTCTTTTGCAAGATAGTGTTGCAAAGCTTTTGTAAGAATTTAAAAAACTGTCATATTCAAAGAGCTATTAAATGAAGATGTGGAGTTTCTGGGTTGCTTTTTTGAGGATGGGTCCCTCTCTGGATGAGAGCATTCAAGAAAGGTTAGTGCGAAGGAGGGAATTAAACTAGAATCTATTGGCCAGAGGAAATGGTTTATTTTTTGACCAAGCTGGCAGCTCCCCCTCGTGTTTGTCCCTGTAAATTGTCTCTGAAACCATATGGAAAGCCTTGGTCAAGTGATCGTTGCAGACTTTGTGACTGGGAGAAGCAGGAACGTTAGGGAGAGCTTTCTAAAGGGAGTTTGAGCATGGGACTTAAATGACAAAGTCTGTGAGACTAGCTTGGGAACGCCAATCACAAATCGTACTTTATTTGGGTTTTGCATTTAATACTTTTTTTTTTAATGTTTGCTATTTGTTTGTACAAAATATGCTATATAGATGCTTCCTAAAAATCAGAGCTAAGTGGATCTTAACCTGGGCAACTACGCAGAGGTAATAGACTGTTGCCTCCTTATCACTTGAATCTTAACTTATGTGTGCACGCACACACAGAGACAAAAATAAATTAAAGCATTAGCATTTGTGTAATCAAAGTGCAAAAGAGGGACATCTAGAAATTTTTTCATGGCTCTGGCTGGGTTTCTTTTCCTGTTCTGTTTTTTTCCAAATCTAAAAACTTTGGTTCCTCCCCCAGTTAGCTTTAAGGGCAGCTCCAACATATGAAGACTTTGTGGCAGCGCTGTCTGTAGAGGAGTGTGACGCTCAGGAAGAAACGTTTTATAAAGGCATGCAGAGGGACCTCAACATTTACTTACCAGCCATGGAAAAGCAGCTAAATATCTTGGACACTCTTTATGAAGTACATGGTTTGGAGTCAGATGAGGTGGTATGACTACAGCGAAACAGCGTCTTAAAACTTCAGGGACTGTATCTGTTAACAAAGTATGTGGGGTTTTTTGTTTGTTTGTTTTTTAATATTGTTTCTGTTCATTGTATCCCTTCTGTTGGAAGGGCATGAGTGTTTTTTGGGGAAGGGTATGTATGAATATGTGGGGTTTTTTAATGCTTTTTTGTGTATAAATGCAGAGGTACTGTTTTTCTTAAGGTCATAGCTATGTCTGTGATGAATGCTTTTGACTGAATAGCTCTTGTTTCCCTCTCTTGCCTTGCTCCTTCTCTTCTCTTCCCTCCGTAAATGTAATGGAGCAGAACTTGCCTTTGCTCCCAGGCTTCGTGGAGGAGTCACACGTTCAGCAGCACGGTCGGCACTAGCAGGTGCTGCTGGCTCTGGCTGTGCCGTGCCGTGTGCCAGCTGTGCATTGACTCTAGCCACCCTGCCACTGTGTATTAGCTGTGTAGGAGGGCAGAGGTAATGAGAGTTATCACCCTGGTAGCAGGAAAGAAGCAGCAGTTAAATGCCAGCTTACCAGGTATGTGGCGAGTTTATCCTTCCTTTTTTTGACTTATTTTGGATGGAAGCACTTTTGCTGTTTAATGCACATCCCCAAACATTAGAGATCTTTACCACAAGTGTACGTGGCTGGTGCTCTGAGCTTGCCCAGGGGCTGGACTGTGAAAACGCACTGCATTCCCTGCACAGCTGCCAGCTGTGCCACGTTCTCCCTTTCAGCTCCTGACAATCCTACGCAAAACTTCCTCTGTGCCCTCCGCGGCGGCAGGATGCTTCTGCCCACGTAGCTCGTGCCGCAGCGCAGGGGAGCCTCATGGCAGAGGGAGGGGAAGCAGCTGTACAGTCGCAGGAGGAAGGCTGTGAGCAGTGGGTGCCGTTTCCTCAGCGCTGGTGCTCGCTGCTGCTCCCTCTGCCCCGTGTTGTCCCAGTGCTGGGACGGGTGAGCCGGAGCCTCGGCTGCTACAGGCTGGCTGAGCTCAGCTCGTTCCAGTGGTGCTGTACACATCTGTAGCAGCTGAAGGTCTGCTCCGATGTTGATCGTGTTTGTAGGCAGGGTAATGGTTTCAAAGGTTTCTAAGACTCAATAGCAGTCGGTATGCCACGGTGCAACAGAAAATCATGTCCATCCTCTTCGTTTTTGGGAGGGCTTGGGGTGGGGGTTGGTTTGGGGTTTAGGACCTTTTAAATCAAATTCACATGAAGACATATTTGCCTTTTAAATTAGTACAGCTAGCAGTTTATGAAGCAGTTTTTCTTGAAATCCTTCCTAGGCTGGCATTATGGGCAAAAACTTCATGAAAGCAGACACAAAATGAGCCATTATGTATTTGGCCAATTACAAGCCTTTAAATCCAAAATTGTATAGCAGTGATAGGGTTTTAGGAAAGTAAGACTTCTGCTGCTTTTTCCCCTTTTGCTGGTACAGATAATAATGTGCTCTTTTGCACAAAGCTATCCAAAGCCCTATGTCGCTACTGAAAGACTTGTTTATGCCTTGAACTGGCAGTCAATAATTCGCAGACCTTGTACCAGCCTTCAACACAAGTTATGAATTTTGCTCTTTACTATGTCACTAGCTAAAAGGACTCTTTAAGAAAAGCATCTGATGTGGGAAGAAAAGACAAAACATCCCATTTGGTGAATAAAACAAGATACCAGAACTGTAATTAACTGTGATTAAATAGTGTGACTGTTCTCTTCCCCCCACCCCCATAATCTCCTCCTAGAGCCACTGGCTGCCTCTAGTTTCTACGTACTCCAAGAGGAATCAGAAGGGTGTAAGGTTTGTTTGTTTTAAAGTAGTTTATAAAGTAGTAATATTTATGTCTAAACATAAAGTCAAAATTTTTGGTCAAAGCACCGTTCAATTATTTCACCGGTTGCAGTGCTACAAGTGAAATGGAGAGCCTTTGAGATTTGTCTGTCCGCTCCTCTTGAGCGTGAATGCTGAGAAACCGCACTTAGGCTAGAACAAGCAACTCTCCACCCTGCGTGGTTTCCTCAGGGTTTTCGGCTAATATGTGGCAAAGTAGAATAGTTCTTAGCTGAATGCTCTGAGAAAATAACGGAGACCACATTTCCACATAAATACAATTTGCGGTAGGGGGAGGACAGGAAGAGATCCCTCTTCTGTAGAAATTAATTGAGAGACCATGATGGATATTGACTTACTCTAAGCTTTTGCAGTAGCAAGAAAGAGTATCCAGCACTTATGGACTTGGAGGGGCAGTGTGTGTTTGTCTTGTGTGGGGGTGATTGATTTGTTTGTTTGCCTAAACTAGTGAGAGAACCACTAGTTTGGTAGTAGTGTATCAAGTTTTGCTTGATGCAAAAAGTAAAGAAGCTTTATTTCTTGAATAAGAAACTTAACAGGTTCATTGGGCTGTTATCTTCAGAAATTACTGACTCCTACGGTTGTTCTTGCTTGTAGCAAGCAGAGAGCACTATATGTTGTTCTGTGTCTTCTGGAATCAGTGGGGCATCCCATCTCAGAGCTGCCTCTGTGGCCTTACTCCTCCTGCATAAAATCAGTCTTTCTGATTTTTTGGAGTTGGTACTTGAACTTTCTTAGGAGACGGTGACTTCAGGAGGCCCCTGTGTGCTTGTTAAACAGGGGATTTGCAAAGATGGAACTGAGTGAGGTCTCACTTTTGATAGCTCTTTTCTTTCAAAACTTGTATTCTGTAATGCACTGCTCTTGCAAGTGAGTGCTTTTTAGTATTTATGAATGCTCTTTTTCCAGTCAAACTACCAGTAAGAAAGAAACCTATACAGCATGTTGCAGAGCTGAACTCTGTTATACCTCTAGTAAGGATGCGATAGAGCAGATTGCCAAGCGTAATCAAATACACTGCTAGACAATTCTTTAGTTTCGTTCTTCGTGGTGTCAGTTTGGCAAGCAGAGAGAACTGTTTTTGATTTTTAATCATTATAGAGAACAAGCAACTAACTACTGACCCTTAAATTCAGAATCGCAGAGGAGGTATGATTGTGGCGTGTGTGTGTTTGTTTTTATGGCTGACACTTAAGAACTGAACTGACCTGCATATACTGATAGGTATTCACATGACTCTCAGAAAACAGCACCCTTGCTCTGCATACTTTAAATGAACTGCTTTGATTTCTTGGACTGCACCTGTCTGAAGTTTTGCATCCCTTTCCTTTAGAAATGCTTTCAGCTGTTTCCTTCAGTGTCTAACAGTTGCATATTCTCAGGGATTTTACTTAGCCATGGCAACATAAGAGTAATCTTAGCCTTACCCTAGGGGAGTAAGGCTGCTTTTTGTAAAATTATTATAGCTGAGCGTAGAGCTCTGGTACAGCATGTGACACTGGCGAGTCTGTGCGGTGTGTGTCCTTGCTGAGACATGGTAAATCCCAAAGCAATCTGATAGAAGTACTACCTAGTACTAAATAATGGCTGTCAGCATATTTTAATAAGGATCATATACGTATCTTTGTAATATAGTGCCATTGGCGTTAGAGCAGAGCTCCCAAATGATGTCAGTCGAGTTCTGCGTAGCAGCGGGAGGCTTTTATTTATTTTATTTATTATTGTTATTATTTTTAAGCAAACTGTGTTCTGGAGCCCCCTTTGCTATTTTTAAGACACCATACTCCGTTGCATATTGAAGTTCTGTGACGTTACAGTTGTGGAATATGAGCTGGATACTTGGGTGCTTTAGTGTAAACATAATGAGTCGGTGAAACATCCTGTGTTGATACTGTTAAAATATGGGTCTCCCTTTAATAAGCGCACTTAAAGTTAAGGGCCGTATACCTTCACTTACAAGCTTTTCATAAAGCATCATCAGGATTTAGTTACGGTTGTTTGCTTTAAAATTTTTTCATAGTTGGAAAATTGTGACTTGCTTGGCTAGATATATAAAAAGCTTGCCCAAAATACGCTTCAGTTGTGTTGCACCGTGCTTTGACCAAGGGATGTGGATCATTCGAGAAAACAGTGTTGCTTGTGTCCATGCGCTGGACCTTCTAACCTTTTTTTTTTTTCCCCTTCATTTTCCGTTCAGTTTCTGCAAAAAGCTTTAGAGAACCTAAAACTCTCCCTTAGACACCGGAAGAGAGCATCAGCCTGTTCCTGTCAGGCTGCTGTTCCCTCTTCCCCGACGTGTTGCCTGCCCCTTCTGTTCCTCAAGCTGTTTGCTGCTGGAGCTGCTGTTGTCAGGTTGAAATAAGAGCCCCAGAGTAGGAGTTCAGAAGTGATTAAAAACATACACTTGGAAAAGCAGACTTGAGTTCTGCGGCAGGCAACCAAGCATACAGTCAGGTGGAGAATGTGCTGTTTTCCTTTGAAGTTTCTCCCTGATTTGGCACGTTTTGCCGGGAAAACTACTCCACTTTGAAGTTTTAATTTTGCCAATGAAATTTAATTCAGGACACTTAAGAGCTGGCAGTTCTACCTCTTACTAGGGAAAGCACAGGCATTTTTTTCTTAAAGGGCTTATTTTTCTCTTGCCTGTAGAGTACTAATAAAAGAAAGGGGAAAAAAATTCTTGAGTTTGTGCATTTTTGCCACCCTCTTGTGGTCCCTTAGTGAACAAACACTGCAAGCTTGGTACTGTCATACAAAACCGCTGTTGTGCAGAAGGGCAGCCTAGCACACTCGCTGCCTCCGAGCGAGCCCATACCGTAGCTGGTCCCGCTCACGGTTCACTCGAGCCTTTAAGCGCTGCTGTGATATGAGAAAATCTCCCTCCACTAACCAGTCTGGTACTTGGAGCTTTCCTACCTAGTATTTTAATTTTTCCCTTGTTCAGGAAAGCATATGGGCTTCAGCAGATGTTTTAAGCCCGTATCTCCGTTCCGGTTAAGAACACACGCAAGTGCAATCCTAGAGTGAAAGAGTAAAGCCCGGACTTATGTGCTTCCTTGAGTCAGGCCCCTAAGTGGCTGTGTGCTTTTATGAATGAACATCTACACACTTCACTTAAACACCCGCTCACCTATCACACCAGCACGCAAAATGTGGCCCTTGACTAGCATTTTTTTACTATCCCTTTCTTGGTATGGTATCCCCCTCGGGAGTACTCCAGATGCGCTAAAGGGGTTTTTATATATGAAACTTCTTTGTTTCCATATCCTGATTTCTGTTTAGCACTAAACTTGCTTCCTTTATTTTGCATTGCAGCATTCAGAGGTCCAAAATTTATTCTTTTATTCCCTTCTTTAAAACAGTCTTGAAAGTTTGACATTTATGTCTACTTAGAATGGAGCTTAGCAAGTAAATTGCCTTCCAGAATATAGTGACTAAACAAAATCCAAGTAGCTTGCTTTTGTTGTTTCCCTTCTGTGCCCCCCCCCAATTTTGGGCATTCATTTTATTAATGCCAAGCCTGGTTTACAGGGAGCCTTACTTAGATCAATACCTTTTAAGATAACGAGAAGGTATATTGCCTTCCACTTGAAATTTACTTAGTTCTAAGGGCTTGTTCATGCCCCTAAAATCGCCTCTTGTATTTGTGAGCAGTACACAAACTGCACTGTTGTAAGCAGTTCAAATTCAAAGTATTTTGGAGTTTCCAGTTTGCATCATTTCTCAAATTACACAGCATCTGTCTTTTGTTCTTTTTTCTTTTTTTTTTTTCTTTTGGAGTATTGTTAAGACCTTTGTCAGACTTTTATATTATTTCATTATAATAAACTTATTTAAAATAAGCACATTTCAAAATCTCACTTCTTCCTTGTGTGGGTTTTGTCTCTTTACTAAAACAGAGGGCCTAAAGCTCTCTTCAGGACTGATGTCTGTTCTAGGTACTTTGTGAACAGTCGGAAACAGTATGTTTCTGGTTAATGGAAACTGCCTCTATGTATCTTTGTACAAAGAATGTTTGAGCACATGGAATCTGTTTTGATTATGAGAATAAAAGCTGCATCTGGCGCACAGTTGTGGGTCCTTGGCCAATGCAAGTGTGCGAAGGCTGTAGTTAAAAAAGCCAGCCTGGGAGTGGGAGAGAAACTGTTTTTTTAAAATTACATGTATTATGTGGGGGGGTGGGTGGGTTGGTTGGTTGGTTTGGCTGGACTTGCATATCTTCCATGGCTCTGGGCCCTGTAGGAGTTTCTCAAGTCTTTAAAATCTCTTCATGGTCATCCTGAGATGTGATGGAGACAATTAGGACTGGAGCCGCTTACTAATTTTAGGTGTAACCTATCTCTCTCTGTAGAGAAATAGATAGATCTAGATTACTGAGCACAGCATGGGCAGAAGGGCATAGCTTTGGTACCTGATTGTCTCCCCAAAGCAAGGGTAAGGCCCTCTGGCAGCATCCAGTTGGAGATCTCTGAAGTATGAGGCGTTTTCAGAGCTGGGGAAGAGAAGATGGGACTGAATCACAGATGAGACCTAACCAGTCCTGTGGCACAGGGTGGGGAGGGTGTAGGTGTCCTGCTGCAGCAGCATTGCTCAGCTGGAGTGAGTGCTGTCTGCTGTGGGGATGCAGGAGCTTTTGAAGCTGTAGACCTCTAAGCCTTTGTGCAGTTGCTGACGGTATTGGGATGGATCTAACGTCTGGTCGTGAGAGTCCCCAGAGCATCAGCTCTGCAAAGGCTGAGGGTTGCTTGTGCTTTGGCAAGGGCTGAGCACTGCCAGGAGCCCTGAACTCAGCATCCTTCTGCCTGGCTCATTTGCCAGGGCTGAGCTGGGGGATAGCTGCCAATTTTGGGAGGGAGGGCGGGAGGGTTTGGAAGGCCTTTCTGGGGCAGGGGAAGACAGGGATTATTCCCCTCTTTCACCACCCCATCTTCTCCTCCTCCTCCTAAGGGAAGGTGCCTGTTATCAGTCTCCCAACTACCAGCTCTAGGAGGTTCTCCTTGTAAGGAGACTTTGTTAGGGGAAGCATTTAAATAGAAGTAGGCGTTTAGGGGCCTGTGGAAGGAGAAAGGCAAAGCAATAGCCATGCTGGTGAGGTGGTGGCTGGCTGGGTGCAAGGTTGTTTCATGGCTGCTACCTCTTACAGTTAGATGGGACTGCTACTGGGCAGAGTCCTCTCCTCTGTCCTACACGCAGTCAGCACTTAACGGTGTGCACAGGTGTTGGCATTTGTACTATATTTTACTGTACTAAACTGCCCTAGCTCTTCACACCAAAATAAAGAGGCTATACAAAGAGATGGACACTAAAAATGGTCCCAGGTCTTATCAGAACTTCACTCACCTGCAGCATTTAAACCATTTCCTTTTCTCATTTGAGATCGCAAGATGCTGTTCTAGCAGAAAAATGAGTTTTCAGCTTTCCATGCAGACATGCAATAAACACACTGAATGAAGGAGCAAGTGTCCATTTTTGCCTGAGAAACAGCAATTGGTTCAACTCCCCTCCTCCTCCAGGAACCCCCTGCACACAGTGCAACCCCATAGACGGCTGCTTTCCATCAGCATTGTACGACCGGAGGAGGAGGAGGGGATGTGACCAGGGTCCATCACATCCCCGTGTCCACAGATCTGCCCCATATCTGTCTCAACTGGCTAATGCCTCAAAGCCCAGCTTCTAGCCCTGAGCTGCAGCATTTGTTTACCACTGAGTTCTGCAGTGTCCTATTTTTAAAATCAAAACATCTGAGCCTGCCCCAGAGCAAAGGAGAGCAGGGCACAGACACGAACGGTGGCGAGGAGGTCTGCATCCGTGCTGAGGTGCTGGCTGCTGGCGTGAGTCATTTTAGTCACCTCCGTAAAATGTTCTCCTATCAGAAATAGCCTGACTCAGACCAGCGGCGCTGTACTAAGAGAGATCACATGCACAAAAAGATATCTGCAAGGTAAATAGCTCCTCACCGCAACTTCCACTGATTTAAAAAAAGCAGATGTGTTGCCCTTGCAGGATCTCAGATGAACGGCAGAAAGAGCAGGAGGAAGAGCTTTGTCCCAGCCAAAGCTCTGGTGGAGTTTGGGCTGGTTGTTAGTAAAGCTCAGGGGCTTTGGTAGCGGCCTGGTAAATTCCTGTCCCTTGTCCCCATCCCTGGAGGAAAACACCAGTTTAACGTGCTTGCACTAAGCTCTTCCCTGCATCAGAGCCACGAGGAGA